AATAAAGATATACTTATATCCCATATGATGTACATTCGATTCAAAAACCAACTACACAAGTTTCTTTTTTTCAAATCATTCTCTTCTGTAGATCCTCTTTGAAATTGTAGATCTTTTACAGGTTCGACGCAGTCTAGCACAACTTTGTGATGGTCCTATCCTAAATGGGATTTCAAATTTTTGTACTATGTCCTTAAAATGTAAAAGTGAACATTGTGTGAGTGGACATACTTTGGATCATACACTAGTATGCCTAATTCAATTGTACAAAAAAATAGAAATATTGCTACTTCGTTTGAATTCCTGCTGGAGGTAATTTGTATTAGACATTTACGAAAATTATGTAGGTCGTGTGAAGCACAGTTTACTACCGGACACTTTACCAAAGTCCTCTTATTAATAATGACAGTACTTTCAGGTTTAAGGTAAGTTAAAAACTGGCATCAATATGGGTAGAGTTCAATCTCTTAATTCTCTAGATGAAGTTAACTGTTGTTATGGTAATCTCTTTGCAGTTCGAAGATCTTTAACAGATACAAAAACTTGGGTAGATTATTTAATTATATTTAATTGATATCTTAGTTACCATCTGATGTTACACTACCGTCTTCATTAAATCATCAAGCAAAACCACCAGCAACAGATGTAAACAATCGCGAAGTGTATTGTTCACAAAATCTCGTTTTATGTTATTTTACTTCAGTTTAGATTTTGGTGAAATTCGAACTAAAGATATCCCAAAGTTTTTGACCGCAAAAGGAACTCCTGATAATTTCGATTCTCATGAAGCCATAACTTTTAACAAACCTCTCGCTAACAATGTAAGCTATTATCTTATTTTCCTTAATTTACTTATTCAGAACAAAAAAGTTAAAAGACTTAGTGCGGATACTCAGCGTTCACTGTAAGTTACTAAGTATAATGCATTAACTTTTTAGAACTGCAATACTTCCACGCGCCACTCAAAAGAAACAAGAAGATCTTCTTTCTGTACTTCTTAACCACAGATAGTATAGTGTCTGAGATTATTGTACAGTTCCATGATCGAATATATACCTATTTGTATTATTTTCGTTACTTTATCATTCAATGTAAATAACTAAATTTTTGGTTTATTAGGAAATAAATTTCTCTAAATGTTTTGTTTTATTGGGGTAGAACTAAAGGATACTTCATTTTGCTACATCTAATCATATATATGCTGAGGTCTTTAAGGATGGTGGTCCAATTTTAGCGATTAAGTTGACTAATATTTTAGCTAAGATCTGGGAATTAGACTTTATCCCATCTGACTGGTCGCAATCACTTATCGTCCCAATATATAAGAAAGGGTCAAAATCATCCTGTGACAACCACAGAGGGATTAGTTTAACAAACATAGTTTCTAAAATACTGGCCTCGATAATTATCAAACGCCTAACTAAGACTCGTGAACTACAAACTCGAGAGAACCAAGCTGGCTTTAGACCTGGTCGTGGCTGCATCGACCACATACTCACCATTCGTCAGGTTCTAGAACACAGGCATACCTATCGGCGTCCGACGATGGTGGTCTTTCTTGACTTAAAAGCAGCATTTGACTCGGTAGACCGCGAGACTCTGTGGCAGTGTCTGTCATTGAAAGGCGTACCTCAGAAGTACATAAACCTTGTGAAGGCTCTTTACTCGAACACTACTAGTCAAGTCAGGGCTTATGGCGAACTGTCATCTACTTTTGCAACCTCAAGTGGTGTCCGTCAAGGCTGTCCACTTTCTCCATTTTTGTTTAACTTCATCATAGACCTATTGATGGAAATAACACTCTCGTCGACTGAATTCTCGGGTATTGATCTCCTTCCAGGAGGTCCACTTATCGACTTAGAATACGCAGATGACATAGTCCTGTTTGGTGAAGACGCTGAGAAAATGCAGAGTCTTCTGGTAGCACTAAGCAACAATGCCAGAATGTTTGGGATGCGCTTCTCTCCCTCTAAATCCAAGTTGTTGCTTCAGGACTGGTCTGCGTCAACACCTGAACTAAGGATAGGGAGTGAAGTAGTCGAACGCGTTGATAACTTCACTTATCTTGGAAGTCTGATCAGCCCTAATGGGTTGGTATCGGACGAAATCTCAGCACGGATTCGAAAAGCTCGCTTGGCTTTTGCCAACTTGCGTCACCTTTGGCGAAGGCGAGATATCCGTCTATCAATAAAAGGACGAGTATACTGCGCGGCAGTTCGTTCTGTTTTAATTTACGGCAGCGAAACATGGCCCTTAAGAGTAGAAGACACCCGTAAGCTACTAGTATTTGACCACAGATGCCTTAGAAATATTGCTGGCATCTGTTGGGATCACCGGGTAAGTAATAGTGAGGTTAGACGCAGGGTATTAGGGAATGATGGTAAATCAGTTGATGAGGTTATGAATCTTCATCGACTGAGATGGTTGGGCCACGTATTACGTATGCCTGAACACCGATTACCACGACGTGCAATGCTAACCGGGGTAGGGGATGGTTGGAAGAAAGTTAGGGGCGGCCAAACCAAAACGTGGCATCAGTGCCTGAAGTCACTAACTTCTAGTCTGAGCCACGTTGGTAGATGCAGACTACTTGGTTGGGGTCCGCGTGACTTTCGTAACCAATGGTTGGAGACTCTTGGTGACATGGCTCAGAATCGATCACAGTGGCGTCGGTGTATACACTCCCTGTCTTCCCTTAAACTAAGAGACTAAAATCACTTCATTCTTTCTGTCTAAGAACTAATTCTTTCTTCCTATACTATATCCTTATTGCAACCTTTGACCTAACCACGCCTATGAATCCGGTGTTCATCTTGCTGTGCTAATGAGGTATGGCAACCTGGACCGATGCACATATGTGCCTGGTCCTACGTTGTAGCTGACTGACTGACTGATATGCTGAGAATTCTATATTGTACCAAAATTGAATAAAGCCATTAATAATAATAAATAAATTTAGTATTACGTTTGGTCTTCTCCTTACTAACATATAAATCTCTGAGGCGGATTGTACTTTAATGAATATGAATCACGGCTATTTCTTATTGATTATACTTAAGCAGTCGAGTACACTGTAATAGCTACCATATCTAGTACAGTCAGATTAACTAGTATCCGAAATGTTTATTCATTTTAAAATAATCTAAAAAATTACGTTCATCAGGACATTTTGACCCACATTTCACAACAGCACAGTGGAAGTAAAGATTGGCGAGATGAACAGCAAAGGAGAAAAAATGTCAATTGGAGTAAAAATGTAGACAAGAGATACGATTTATAGGGAATAAATGGATTTTAACAATAAGAAAAATATGGAAATTAAGACTGAGAAAAATAATGTACCCAACTCTATGTATAATTAGTGTCTCTGACGACATCAACCTGGAAGAACTGCATCCAACATGACTCAGACTGGAAGTTGATGTCTTCACAAAACGATGCCTTGTTTTTGTTCACGGTCCCAGCGTAGTGCGTCGAGTTAGTCTATGGCTGAACTTACGTAACGTCTAAACTACTACAGTCGATGGATATCAAGAACCCTGCCAACTTCCCGTGATTAAATGGAACATTACTAACTTAGTAGTCTTATTCACGTGCTACTAATACTTCAGGAACATCTATGCTTACATACTTTCTACCGCAATTGCGGCAAAGCGGTCCGGAATGAATTGCTACCTTCGCTATTTGGGATGTAAACGTTCGTACCATTCGAACACCATGAGGTACAAGGTGTGAGAAACCTGTGTATTTTCACTTAGATTCAATCAGCAACGGTGATAAAACTTCTAAGATAAACAAAGTGGTTAATAAACTCATCTAATTTATTCTCTTCAGTTCTCCAGGACATTCGTTTAAGCCGTTTCTGGAGCAGCATATTGCATCATAGAGAAATGTACCAAACATTTACATCAACCCTTTTTGAGAAGACCGGCTACTTGAAACTCAAACGAGGGACATGTCACCTCTTAGCTTATCTGCGACAAAGTACGTATCTGTAAAGTGGGTAGTTCTGACCGAAAAATATGACATCTCTGCATTGACTAGGTCAGTCACATTCGAATGAAATAATCTTAGAAAAATAATGTAACTCGTGCATTTCATGATTATGAATGCTGAAAATTCACAAACCAAAAGTCAAAACTAGACCATGATAATCAAATTTCTGTACTCGTAAAATGGTGACTGGCAATATAAGACTACATCTAATTACCGAACTCTGTCAATGTTGGTAGCACCGCGTGAGCAGTGTTAAAGTTATACGCAGTGCACCAGGAAAAGTTGGTAGATCTGTCAACTGTGAATCTACATCAATTAAGAAGTTTTGACATGTATTGGCTACATTCAGTCAGTGCCTATTTCGACGTGGGTTGAAAGTAAGCTGGGGTCGGTCAAACAAGGACATGTCAGTTCATGAAGTCATCCACTGTTGATTGAGATCACCTGGCTGGGATCTACACAATTAGTGTGGTAAATAATTAAATACATTGGGTGGCATGACTGCGTCTAAGTGGTGCAGATACATCCACTCTTTGTTCTCTATACCCTGTTTCAGAACATCATCTTGTGAGTCACTTATTCTTGAATTATATCCCTTATGACTTTACCTTCTGTATCATAGGTATTACATTTCTGGTGCTCGTTTTGATATCATCTCGCTATCCCGAAGCGGTTCGGCAACTTGGATAAATGCATATATGCACCAGGCTCTACGTTGTTTATGACTGACCGACTCGATCAATTTGATTGATAAGCCTGAATAACAACGTGAAAACCTGTAGAGTTAAATTATCAGGAACTGCTGCTTCCCCACACATTTAGTTACGAACTCCGCAACTAAGAATTTTATGCCTAATTAAAATCTTGCATTTAGACTATCAGTAAGTAAGCATTAAAGAATATTAAGCACCTTTGAAACATAAATCACTTCTGGTTTCTACGTAAATAGTTAAAAGGTAGCAAGAGACTAGTCGGACCTACCAGAATCTCGTAATAAGAATGAATTGGAGAATTGATGTTATTATAATTTCAGACAATTACCGAAAGTTAAATTTGGTACATGGTACTTATAAGCTGGAGTGACAAAAACAAAGTTTCAAAAAGAATTAATGAACAGTTATCGACTGTATATCCGAAGGTAGTGTTTTCCGTTGCTTCTTTTCTCATGGACATACCAAATTCAAAAAAATGCTGAGCAAATGTACCAGAGGGAAATATTGCCTATAATTAATAGTATCATACAGGTGTTCACAATGAAGGGAAAATTTGACACTAGATAGCAAGGAACTAACAGATACTAAATGAAAGTGCGGTGGACAGAGTCGTTGTTTTACATAAAACCTATGTTATGTATGGATTTCAAGGGGTAGTCATATATTCCTTAATAAGTGCCAGATATATATGATCTCCGTTGATCACTTTGTAAACATCGGTAAGATAAACAATGACGAATTACGTGTTTTCATACTTATTCTCTTACTGGTAATAAAGTCTTATTGTTGTTTATTTTCATGACGCATTCGTATAAATATTGCTTGTAATACAGGAATTAACATTTCAAGGAGGAATTCTTCAGTGTTTCGAGGTGACTTGAGATACACTTATCAAATCAACAAAAGCTTCTAACTGGTGAGTTCCCAGTAGAATAACAAACAAATTCTCGTCCAGTAAAATCAATGTATCACAATGTAATTTAAGGCAATATTTCTGGTCATTCACACATACACACCAAGTTACAATAGAAAAAAATAGATTCAGTAAAAACGAACATCATTATATCAAGCTAGTGAATGTTTGCACATGAACATCTTTCTTTCAGGGGTTTCAAAAATTAAATTTAGAAAAAGAACAAATAGTTTTTCCATTTTTTGAAAAAAAGGAGATTACAAATGACATGGACAGCTTTCTCACTGAGATATGTTAACACAGAAAAGATTAATAACAAATAATAGTCTTCTACAGTAGAAGAAAATCACAGTTGATAAGCAAAAATAGATATTATGGAATGTAGTCTCGGTAATAAAAAAAATTACAGACTTATTGCAAATAATTGTAACTGATAATGACATGTCAATCGTGGCGTAGTCGAGAATAGCCCAAATCCAATTGTTATGGACTAAATAATGGCTACAATAATTCACCCTCGAAAAGGATTCATAATTGAGACACGACGAAGTACTGATTCAGGTATTGGTGTACTTGAAACTGGTGGCATTATGATTTTCGCAATGCCTTCAAGATTATCCAGAAATATTTTCGGTGTCAACAAGTGTGTACCACCAAGTACAACTTCCCAGTTCCAACCAACTCCTCCACCGGGGATTGTTGAAATATTTTCTGTTGTAGGTGTATTCATTTTATTTGTATTCTTATCACTAGCTGCAAGACGGGTTTCCTTACACTAACAAAATAAGTTAAAAATGATTAACTTTCTTATTATTATTATTATTAGTTAAAAAGTAATCCATCTCAAATTGACATAAAATTCATAAGCCATTGTTGAAAGTGACCAACAGTTTTGAATGAGATATAACATTGAAACCTTAAACACTCCACACTTATTTAAACAAGACTAGACAGTAATACGAAAACAAATAGATTGAACAATCACTTTATTTACACTAAAAATATCAAGGAGAATGGAAGGCTATATTAGATTAAATATTTAGAACAGAAAACTAATTGCATCATTTATTACAATTCACTTGGTGTAAGAAAGTATGTTTTGGAATTTTGATAGGGAGATAACAGAAAACGGTTGAAGATTTAGTGAAATAACTCGGGATGGATCGCACTATCGTCAGATCCGTGTACTACTCAACTTTCGAGATTTGTAATACCTTATTGATGAATGATGTGCGGTTTAATCGCTTTTAAAATAAATGAATAGAGTGCATACCGATGGATAAACCTAATCATAACGATGCGTTCGGTTTGATAGTTGCTCATAAGGACGGTTTATTGATGCAAGCTGATAACAAGGACAAGATAATTGACTTTTTCTATAAAAAAATAACATGTTCATATACAAAATATCGAACACAGGGGATTAGAAGATACAGATTTTGTAGGTCACTGAAATCCAATCCAACTTAAGATGCAACTATTAGAAACCATTCTTTTCTGTTACATAACTTTGTCTTACACTAGCTTTTTGATGCTCAACTACACATCATTGGTATCACTATGATCCAGTTCATACCCCGTTAACATAACAGCTTTTAATTTTTGGGATTATCGATAGTCCATTGATGAGCATACTATAGGGTAACCTCTCCTTTGTGTTATATAAATGTAACTGATCTACCAGATAAACATAAAATGATACATATATTTGATAGTAACATATGAAAGAGTATATATGGACCTGTAATTTTGATAAATAACAGTTTACATAAAAAGACTGAGTCAGAAGTAATAGCTTAATGTTTAATAACTGATGAATGCTGAAAGTTAGTAATTCGTAAAGCTTTCTGTCGATAATCTCTGTCTTTCAAACATGTTTATCAATGGATTTTTATGGATATTCACTATTTTAAAGGCATTTATCAATTCTTGTATCAGTCATTATGTAGTATATAACCTTCCCACTTAGTCAAATAAATTCTGGATCACTCGTTCTTTAGGTGATTAAGAAAAAGTCATTAAGATTCAGATATGAACTATTCCATGTGCCTTTTTTACTTCTAAAGTGGATCAAGAATTTGAAGTTAATGAGAATTCGTCGAACTCTATTGTTTCTTTGAAATTTATAAAAGTTAAAATTGTAATACTTCCTTTAAAAAACACATTGTTATCATAAGCGATAAAGATGTTGTTTCAATTTCGATAAAAGAAGCTTACTCTTTGCGTTAACTGGTAACCCACTCTGGCTTCTGATAACGTGAAACCTCCAACAACAAAGACTATAAGGCGAGGACCACAGTGTTCAGTCATAGAAGAAGCAGCTGTATTCCGATCCGAACCAGGATTTGGACTAGATGACCTAACAGATGCTGAAGGACCTGCAGACAAAACACCACTGGCATGAAATCGTGCGGAAGGCTTTTTAAAATCCTTAGAACTAGTATCCACTGCATTACCGAGACCAAACACATCTTTAATACCTTTTGCTACAACGAATCCAAAACGTGATTTGTCCAGCTTACCCGAAATAGCTTGCTAAGAGTAACGGAATAAAAGTAACAATATAGTTCATCGAAAACCTTCAATATTTTGTTTAGTTCCTTATCCAAATATAATAAGTGAATAAATCTGGTAATTCATTAGAAGATATAATTATGACATTAAAATAAACAAACATATGATGGTCTATCTAACACTCTGCTAAAATATAAGCAAGGAAAAGAAATTTTCCTAACGGCCCAAAAACAAAGATTCGTATGTAATGTGAACAGAGAAACAAAAAGAACCATGAATAACAGAGGAAGCTATTTTTAGGGACATTATTTCACTTAATTCAAAGCTTGTAACACTACAAACCATAAGCTTTCGTTTGATGTATCATTCACTGTCATAAACCTTTTTGTTCCAAAGTTATTGTAATTTAAACGTAGCCTTTGCTACTATTTTTCTACACTAATTCCCGGTTTCTTACATAATTGTATTTTCCTAATTGTTTGTGCGTTGTTCTCATGTTGGCCATCTATTTATTCATGTATCTTTTAGAATTAATCTGGATCGGAGTGTGAATCGAAATCAGGAATCAATCGAGTAGAGTTCCACTTGACTAGTCTTATCTCTCTCACGCGCCTGTCAACCAACCAGGTAATAGAATGATTTCCGTCTCTCTACCCAAGGCGGTTAGTATTACTTCGAAATCACGTGATTGTAGCCTCAAGGTTAAACCAGTCAGCCTATCGAATCAGAGTAAGTTATCTACTGTATATCAGTGGGTAAACAGATCAAAGACGTAACAGTATGACAACTTTACCTGCTAATGGTGAATGTCATTATTCTCACATGGTAGCTTAGTATAGTTAAGCTACTTGACTTAGAACCTCACTCCATACTTACTCATATAAAACGTAGGACTCAAAGAGGAGTAAATAAACCCGTAACTTGGTTACTGAGTTTAATTACAGTGGTTAATTCCAAATCAATAGTAAAATACTTCACTATAAGAATTGACACAATTTCTCCTAATTCACAAACTATTTTAGCAGTTACGAAAGACTAAAGCTAAAATCCTCGTTATATTCAACAGAATCAAACCAAAAGTTAGCGAAAAAAGTAAGATAGGTATAGGAAAGTTGACTGTGTATGAGGCCATGAATAACACCTATTGTTTTGTTAGACAACTTGATAATGAATTCTAGAACGAATAATTGTTAGCTGAGTACCTCTTCTAAATCACTGTACCATAAATTATTCACTGTTAAATGTACATACAATCTGCTTAGTGAAATGTTCAATAACTAAAATCTATATGTAAATGAATATTGGAATCTGACTGGCAACTTTTAACATAGTAAAAATCCCTTAGCTAATTTATATGACTTCACAGCTTAACATATCATACTAGGACGAAGTGGCCGTCCGGTGCATCCAGGTATATAGAAACTTTTGAAGTGTTTATTTGTAAACAAAAAATAACATCTATCTGATAATAAGTAATGTGGAAACACTTATTCAATCGTTATATATCACAATTGATGACTTGTACTACGTTCAATTACTTTTCTTTGAATATACTATACAATAACTAGCACACTGTTTAGTATATTGTTAGCCGAAATTCAATAGATGAAATGAATTAATTTACAAATGCAAAAAGATTGTATTCGATAACTGGTAGTTTTAGTGTCGATTATTTTTTTATTTTCACATAGAATAGTAAGTAGTAAAAAAATTAGATAAAAAAACTACCAAAATATTTGAACTTACTTCCATAATATCTAAAATATACGGTGTCCATCGTGATAATGCATATGAACTAGCATTAACACGATCTACACGTTTCTTTTTTACTGGAAGGTATGTTTGTAATAATTGGCTAACTTTTGGAATTGGTGGTAAACGTAGAAGAGATACGCATCTACCCAATTGATATTGTGGGACATTTGTCTGATTAGGCAACGATATAGTGACGGGCTATTTAAGGAAAAATAGAGACACATTGTATCCATAAGAGTGTATGAACAGAGTAACCTATTAAAGGAACAAACACGTCATCTATGAGTATGTATTATACAGTTGTTCGATTGTCTTACTCAAATACACACGATACTAATGAACTACTTGAGTGAGAAAACAACAGATGAATAGGAAGGTGTTTGAAAACCTGAATCGACATATTTACACAATGTGGTGGTCGGTATTCGATATAATCCATAAACTTCGTATACAGTTCGTTTTGATAACCGTCCTATATAACGCCCCAACGGTATATTAATCAGAAAGCGAGTACGAAGCGTTGATTAGGTTTATTACGGGACCACATACACATATCCAAAATTACAGATGCGTTAAACAAGCATGGAAGAGTTGTGCCGAAAGGCAAGCAAGCGAGCGAGTGAGTCAGCGAATATGAATACGAGCAAGCGCGTACAATTAAGCGAGCGAGAGCGAGAGCACGAGAGCAATGAGTATGAATAACATGGACATATATATACATAGTGAAATGAATGAGTCATCGAATCAAATAAGCGGTTAGTAGTAAGGCTAGCATAGTGAATACATGCGTGGGGCGTAAGCAATATTCAAGCATACATGTCCATACATTTGCAATAGTAATAAAGATACGATGATATAGATAAGTTGTTGTTAGGATGGCTCAGTTCGTTAATAAGTTAATAAAATGACTCGATTGAAGTAATTGTGAACAAACTCAATTTCACGTGACCTGTTATAACAAACGTATTTATAAATACAGATGTGTCCCTTGGATAATCAAGCTATGCTTCCACCAACAGCGATCTGTCTGTGTCAAACGCGTAAACAATTCAAACTTTGACCAATAGCATGCATCCCTCAATATCTTTCTCTTATCATTTGGTCTTCAGCTGACATATTTGACCGACCCAGTCTATCGCATTTCCTTCCTGAAAAATAAGTCATCTCGGATTCAGTATGAGTTGTTGTTGGCAATGTCCTTTGATGATCTCTTTAAGGTTTGATTGTTGATTTTGATGCCTTAGATTGGTTGTTCCGGAAGATGTGATAAGCCGGGTCAATTAAACATATCAGCTGAAGACCAAATGGTAAGAAAAAGATATTGAAGAATGCACGCTATTGGTCAACCGTTTCATCAACTTAGTATCTATTTCATATCAAGTCCCAAAAGTGTTTCTTGTCCAATAAGACAAGAATAATCAATTAGATACTTTTACATGGTAGACCGATCATTGTGTGAAATTACGAATGAAATTAAAAGCAAAAGTGGACCACGTAAAGATAACATCGAGCAGTCGTCAAGTATTGTCATAAATTCTGTTATCTTTTTAAAAATTTAATCACTGTCACTGAAAACAGTTATTTCGAATTTACAGGTAGAAAACACTCTAATGACTGGTATTCATATTCATAAATAGTAATGAGGAAAAATCATCAACAGGCTTGTTATGAGTGACGATTACCAAAAAAATAGTTAATTGTAAATAATACTAGGTCCCAAAAGAAGAGATGAATATATTAAACATTTTTTACGCTTGATAGTTAGAAGACAGATATCAGGCTCTTATTCAAAGAAAACATAGAACACAGTACAAATATGTACTGTCACTACTAAGAGTATTGTATGGGCTTCAACCGAAGAAGTTTACATACCACATACGGCTTATATCAGTAGTCAGTGAAGAAGATACAAGTGTTTATTAACGGTCTTCTACGAAAAAATACTTCGGATCAGTTGGACAGACACCATAGGAAACAAGCCACTGTGGGAGAGAACAAACCAGATCCTAACGGAGGCAGAAATCAGGAAGAAGCACTGGAAGTGGATAGGACACACATTGAGGAAAGCACCCAACTGCGTCACAAGGCAAGCCCTCACCTGGAATCCTCAGGGTCAAAGGAAAAGATGAGGGCCAAAATCACATTACGCTGAGAAATGGAGACATACATGAGAATAATGAGCAACAGTTGGATAGAACTAGAAAGGAAGGCCTAGGACAGAGTGGGCTGGAGAATGCTGGTCGGCGGCCTACGCTCTATTGGGAGTAACAGGCGTAAGTAAGTGACTTTATGAACCGATGCCATATCTGGGCTCGGCCTTCCTTAAATTCTGACCCAATATTATGCCAGTTAAGACTGTATGTGTTGTGACGGGCGGTGTTCGAAAACTAATACTGATATATGGTGTGCTACGCACTGACCCCCCCCCCAACTGACTTCTTCAGAGAGGACATGAGAGTGAGCAACAAAGTATATTGGACTACCGGATGAAATGCACGAATACGCGTTTATATATACCACTCCAACCCTTAGGAAGTTGATCCACCTTTTAGTTAATGAAATGAACTTGTCCTTTGGGTCACTTCTGATTGGCTTGCCATAATAAGTATGAGCAGTCTTCGACTGTGAATTGTATTACCCTTGCCAAATGCGTCGAACGATAGAATTATACAGCCTAGTCCATCGAAATGTTTAGTATGGTAAGACTTCGAGAAACAACTGCCGGTAGAGCTTGACTACACTACCATGATAACCAAGTTCATGAAACAGTTACGGTTTGATAAGTTGTTTTTAAAATGAATATGTGCATGAATTATGATCTATCAAGAGTTGATTACAATTACGATCAACTATGTATGGAATACAGATTTTCTATACTTAGCTTTATAGATATGAATAAAATACAACAGTATCCTTTGAAGAAAACGCATCACCTGGAAAAAATGCACCAAACTGTCTCCTAGATCATAATTGACTCAAATTTATGGTATCATCATTAGTGGGAAGCCTAACAATGGACAATGTTTATTTCATTGATAAACGACGACCTTAGTTCACTTAAACACATAGATGTAAAATTAAGTAAAATGAGGAAATCAGAATCATTTTACTTGAGAAAATCCGAGTCATATGATATAGAGTGAATGAACTATTGCAGGTATTGTTTATCCAAGTGTGTGAAATAAGTAAATATAATTTCTTTTAACAAAAGAAACAAATGTTTCTATGACACCACTTAAATTTCTAATTCCATCATCTCTTATTTTCAAGTAGCCGAAATAAAAGAGAAAAATTAAGCAGAATTAATATTGTCACTAACAAAAATGTAGTTTGATGTCTATGATCAATTGTTCCTTCTGTTTCTTAATAAATATTAAAGTCTATCAAATAGTAGGCACTAAAAATAGCTTTCGTGTATCTTAACATTTATTTAATGTTCATTTTTTGTGCTGATCATTGAGTTATTATGATACTATTGAATTAATTTTAAAGGAGATTCCCAAATATTTTCCGATAAATGTGATTAGATACTTCATAAACCAACTACAATACATGTCTTTTTGTGCTAGGCTGTGAGTCGTATTTACTTTGAGTTGATGTGAAATAGATCTCGGTTACATAAACCGAGATACAACGGTGGAGGTATCAAAACCACGGTCTAATTTTTCGGGAAATAAAAACTTGATGATCTCACCGTAAATCGATTAGTATGAACTGTTCCGACCGCATACTTACAGTATTTATTAGACCGTTATAGATGCGTACTTGTAGTTTAACCAAGTACTGTACATATTTATCAACTGTTGTGTTAATATTGGCTATTTCTGCGTAGAACAGTGTCAACATTTACATGTGGATTTGATACGAATCAGGAATAATCCGTTGGTACAACCGATTCACCATTATCATCGCATCAAAAGCTAGTTCCTAGAATTTTATATAGACATTTTTTTATTTGGTTTGACATTCATAAATGTTCATTCAAGACGCTAGCAACTAATTGTTGATATTTAGATATGAAACAACTTTCAACAGAATTCAACCTCTATATATTTGGAATAATCTTCACTTGATAGAGAATGTGATAAAAATGAAACGTGTGATGAGTCGACGTCATCACATGTTAATGTACTTAAATTTATGATTAGATAATACATAGATGACTGACTACCATATTTATTCGTATAGTTTTGAATATTTCTGCATTCGATTACAAATGTATAAGTTTAAATAACCCAAATATAATTTGTATTCATCCTTTTTATGTTCTTTTAGTTTAATTTGATTGGATGCCGGCTCAGTAGTCCAGTAGGTTAAGCGTTCGCGCGCGAGACTGAAGGCCCTGGGTTCGAATCCCGCGAGCGGGATCGTGGATGCGCACTGCTGAGGAGTCCTACAATGGGACGAAACGGCCATCCAGTGCTTCCAGGTTTCCGACGGTGTCCTGACATCAATCGGTTCATGATCTCAATCAAAAACTTGATTTAATATGTTATCCCTTTTTTAAAAAAAGGAATTTCATTATTTTCATTGAATCACAGAATATAATACATTGAAGAATCATTATTGATAAACAGAATAATGTGAAAGACCAACTTACATCAGATTGAATTAATTGAGCATTCATAATGAATGAAAGACTTGCAAATAGTGGTTTGAACGAACGTGAAACTTGAGCACAATCCAACAATTTATCTAAGTGTGTTTCTGCGAATCCCTCTGAATTTATTTATAAACATAAAAATAGTAAAATAAACACAATATAGTATAGAGCCATGATGAAAAAGTAATTGAAAAGAAATTTCTTTGTTCTAATCGTTCTTTATTTTGCTAAGTGATAAAATGGGAATTTCGACTATGCCGATATATATATACATCAATAAGTTCAATTACAACGGATGATAAGTTAAGTGACTAACTAATTCACGATAGAAAATTTGTTCATACATATAACATATAATAAAGATTCATGCTCATATAACAGGTACATATTCATGTAGATTCAAAACAAACTTCAAATATGGGAGCAATTGATATTACTCGGATGCCCAAACGGAAGTAGGTAACACAGTGTTTGAGCCTGTAATATAGTAGTTAAACATCTTAACCCACTGCTCCGCCAAACAACAAGAAATGTTAACTATTTATTGTTTATCACTGAATAAGAATAACTAGTGTCATAAAACAGATTTATAATCATTTTTTTAAGAAAAATAAAAGTGCCAAAACAGAATCTGTACACCACAAATCAATTAATTGATTTCATTTCGAGTAGAATATACGACAACATACATCTGTCCATTTAATCAAATACCATTTACCGTACACAATGATAGTGACACTCTCAAGTATGTTGAATGTGTGTAAATGTATATATTTCGAAAGTGTGTCAATGCATATTACTATACCGCAACACAGTTTAAATGAATGAAGTATTCAATATACTTTAATGATTTCATAATTTATTCTTGCACTACATGAAATGGATCTGTTCCATTAGACTAATTAATTCTTGACGAAAATTACTATTTCCAATTATTTTATTTTCTATCGCTTTCTACTCATGCACTGATGTAATCATATATAACATCCTAGTTAGTAACATTATCTACAACTTATGCACAGAAATAAATAATTTGAAACTATCTACCTGTATGATCATAACAAATAAACCATTTATAAATGTTTCACTGAAAATAAGAAAGTTACATAACTAAGAGGCATTTCTTTGAAGACATATAAATGTACAATGGAAGAATAAATGAATTATTCCAAAACAAATAAAAATAATAAAATTACAACATTCAATACATAATAGCTCCAGAAAATTAACTATTAGCTTCATTGAATGCAAATCTACTTAGATTAAGACATGGCTAATCGACAGATTTCACACTCTAAATTATACCGGACCAAGTTAACTTATTTGAAGGTTGAATGAAGCGATAATTTTTTTATGTTCCTTAAAACATTTATTATCCAAAATGAAAATAGGCGGAAAAAGGTTTATTCATTGATACGAACATTGCAATAACAAATATTAGTGAGATTATATAAATCCGTTTTGAAGAAGATAAAGAATGAATATATGTTACCTTTTATAAGAGTAAATATAAGTAAAAGACGTAAACGTTCTTCCACTGTTGTAAAATCGTATTTGAAAATATCAACCAATACACGCATAGGATCCGTTATAGGTTCTCCTTTTGCATTCTCACCCATCACAAGATCCTTTTAAAAGAGAATATTCAGAGAATTACCATAAGTACACTAATAAATAGTGACTACACTAATTTCTACTTTTTTTCACTCAGTAATATATATGTAATAAGAATTTTTATGTTCTCTATGTTCAAACGGGAATAACCAGACTTCGGAATCGATTGGCATGGGCGGTGTTGACATTCGGTAAATTAAGAAAATTGTATTTGTGGAAACTAGAAGGAAAAACCGCTATACATTGTTATAGTTATCTCTATTCGTAGATAATCACTTGTAGTTCTTTATAAATCCAGGACTCGATAGTGTATTGGTAGTTCTTCGTGTTTTTTTCATCTATCATTATATTTCAAAAGCATAAGAACGCTTAACGTAACTTAGTATTCTCATTACCAGTTGATTGAGAACCATAATGTGATTTATAAGTTGTTATCTTATCAATTCATTGATCAAATAGTTGGGTATGAGACAGTGTAAGTTTGAGAGCTTACGATGGTACCTGGTCGCTCAAATCGAAGTAGATGGAGTGAAGTGGAGTTCAAATCTGGGACTTAGTTGCTGAAAGTCAAACGCTTTAGCCACTAAGTCATAGCTCTACGTATTCTATAAGTAGGTGATTGTGATTTCATATTTCGTAAGATATTGAGACCGTACTGAAAACTCCAAAACACTCCCTAGTAGTCTTGATACACTGCTTTTACTTGGCAAAAATGTCGTTTCCAGACGTTTAACATTAATCCAAAAAGACATTACTTCCTTAATCACTTTTTCAAATATGTTCTAAAACTGCAGTCAATGAAATAACGTACAGTTTCTCATCTGACAAACAAATAGCAATAATATTAGAGGCCTTTAACTTAGATTACTTTTGTTTTGTTTACTCGTTGGTTAAACTTACCACTAAATTTATTACTAGCAAAATCTTAACTTCTTATCATATTTACAGGCGAGTGAGAAGTAGAGAATATTAAAATAACCAATACCAAAATGGAATAATATACACAGTTTATTTTTGAAGTAATATCCTTTAGTAAAAAACTTGAATGTTTTTCCATGTGTATAATGTGAGTTACGCCCAAAATTAAATAAATTGCAAATCACAACAAACTTTAAACACGTACCAGTTTGGTATCTCTTTGAGTGAGTACCAATCGATAAATATTGTAATCTCATTCAAAAAATAACTTAGACAATGTTCATTTGTCTCATTTCCCATCAGTATTCAATATGTGTATCTTTTATTTCCTTTGCCCTAATAATTAAACTACATATTTCTCTACTAGTTAAAATAACACTAAGTTTTAGGAACAAATTAAGTTTATGAAGATCAGGTTGTATTTGTATATACTTTGACTTCATACAGACTGACTTGACAGATCTACAGGAGTTAAAACAGGATATCTCTGGGAAAAAATAAACCCTAGACGAAATATTTTTGGTGTCACCGATTAACAGCAATACTTTACTTACGTGATTTTAGTGAGCCAACGTATATGTAGGTAAAATAGACAAAAGGTCACAGAAAGTAAGACTCACTTCTCGAAATACATCTATAAAAAGTTATGCGATAAGTGTAGAGAGTCGTCATCGCTGACTAACACAATTTACTGTGATAACTTCCCAGTACAGTTCTTTACAGAATGTTACTAAGACAGATGCTGAGTAAACAACTTGCAACTGAATAGTTTTGAGTTCGGTGATTTTGTTTACCGTTACGCACTTCCATTACGTATTTGAATAAACGAGATTGAGTTCTGATAATGGATTCAAGTGTCCAGATTATATTGTCCAGTAAATCTCTTAAAGAAAATGAAAATAGTCATAACACTCCATGACTTTTTTTAGTTTATTTTCATTCAACTACGGTCAAACAATTATTGAGTTAAGAATTTTCTAACAATTTATCAAATTACATAACATACCTGTGTTAATGATAAATAGAATCCTCTTTCCCCATAAACTATAGAAAGCCACCGGTTAGAATCAATTTAGTGCGCTCAAGTGCCGCCCTACCCTTCCCTCTTCAACTAATCTAAATACTGATATTTCTAGACATCAGATGAGAGTCCTATAGTTATTTTTAATGATACTGTCATGATAAATTCACTTGATTTTAGCCGCATCTAACCAGCAAAAAGGAAAAATCACAATATTCACAATACTAAAACTACTCTCTTTTAAGTGAAATTACTTGTTCAATTTCACATAGTTTATCAACACCTTTTTTGAATGTAGCCATACAAGTCTCAACAATATGATAAGCAGCTGCATAACTAGCCGATTCTGTTTGATATTGTGGCATACGTTTGATAAGATCAGATAAATCTCTTATATCGACAGTATTTTTATTTGTATCTTCTTTTGATGGAACATTATCCAAATTAGCTTCTTCGAATTCAACAAATTGTTTTTTACTTTCAGCAAATTCACGAACACGTTGAGGAAGTGCCCTATAAATTGAATGAAACAACACAATATGTATTTCACAATTGAAAAGTATTGAGGATAGTAACAATTAAAAGTTTTAAATGATACATCATGATTGGTTAGGAGAACAGATACATTGATTTATTGTTTGTAGTAAAAAAAACCATCCATTACTGATTGCCTTACCAGTTACTACTAAATAGTATAAGAATGTAATTTATGACAAAATACAGATAACTAAACGGAAGATCATATATTAACAGAGACTGACCATATCAATAATGGGAAACAAGTGAAAATAATGCTGAACACAAATAAAACATTCTGGTTACTCACTAAATAAGATTATAATTCTTTTAAAAAGTATCGATTTTCAAAATATATAATTGGTGAAAATCAAAGAACAAATGTTATGGAGAATGCAATATCATTGCGTAATACCTAATTTAAAGACGAAGCAGCAGATCCCACATGATAAACGTGACCGGTTAAAATAAAATGAATAGGATAAGATTTACAGAATAATAGGAATTCACTCCGTTTGCAGCTAATGAGAAGCCTTGAAACATAATGAATTTATTCTCCAAATGTTGTCTTTTTAGATTTATTTAAATTTATCACGGGATCAGTTGTAGATAAAACGTGATTAGATTTGAAGACCTTTTAGTATAATGATGCAGAATAATGATGATATGTAACAACTAGCGTTTACTTTATGATGGATATGCCAAATGAGCCAGACAAGATTGTATAATGATTTCAATGGAAGTGAGCGCGAACTATTATGAGTAATTAGATCCCCTGTCTATATATCTACTGTTTAGGTTAATCTAACTATAAAAACAATTGAGCTGAGAATATTCCTTTGGTAAATACAAATTCTTAAACGGTTTTTAATCGGGTAGATTGTGTCGGGACTGTTCAATAGTAGCTGATTTACAATACAGATTAGATCAATAATCCGAATTTCAAATTAATGCAACTAATGGAATAACATACCTCGTGACATCTGCAACATGCTGATGTCGAAATTCCTTCCACAGTGCATCGCCATCAGCAACATTTGCTTTGCGATTTCCACTATACCTTTATATTCAAAAGATAAATACAATTTGAACAATAAAATAGCATAACAAATACAGTAAAAACAAAGATGGTATATAGTGAAGTCTATGATTGAAACAGACCCTCTCATAGCTTCATTAGCCTGATTCGACTCCCCGAACTAAGGTAACAATTTCAGCTTTTTTAGTGTTAATAAGTTTACTTCAATTTAGTCGAAATTACATTTTGGTCAAGATAATCCACGGTTGAACTCGATGAAGCACTAGGAAGCTCAGAAAGAGCCGAAGATATTTCATTTAATCATCTTTTGGGAGAATATTCCAGAATCACTACATGGAGCTTCCCTATTTGACAGATGCTAATAACCCCCTGTATGCGGATTGGAGGACTAAAATGATGATTTCTTTTTTACTAAAAACTATAAATATCTGACAGCTTTGTACCATAATTGATACTGTTTGGAATAGCATTCCTTTCACTTGTCTTCTGTCTTCTCATTTGCAACTTGGGAGGGTTCTAGCGTTAGAGTGCTCAAATTATACGCAGCATATTGTTATCTTTAAAGTCGTCAACCCATATCATGTACGACAAAACGTTTCACTAAACAATATTTCAAACGGTGGATTTATGTTGCAGTTCCCGGAGAACTATATTTGATCCAGGTACAGTTCATCTAAAATGTCTCACCTTAATAGAATGGATGCATCATGATTAAAATTCTCACAAATCAATAAAGGCTATATTTGAAGGCGAAGGTATATTATAAAACCTGAGTATTGAAGGCTCAATCGATTTAGCATTTAGTTATGCACTAAATGTCAATATCTAGTTTTAGACCCGGTAGTTAGTGACTTCAATGAAAATGTATGAATGTGGAGTCAAATAGAAAGAAATTTATGTTCGAAGAAAAAAGTAACGATTGTGATATGCAACTCGATTGCACCAACCAACTGCTTTAGAGTGGCATCACTCATCTAGGATTGCAGGTTTTTTAAATCTGGTTTGTAAAACAAAAGAAATCTATGAATAAGATATTATGTGATGTACTGCAGGTAAATTAGAATTTTCCATAGAATACGAACAGAATAATAAACTTTGATCTACGTTTTTTATGAGAGCTGGGGATAAGATTTGGCTACACAAATTGAGGTAGGTGAGGCGGGTTTTTTAAATGTGACTCATAAGTTGAAAACTAAGTACTCGAACGACTCAGTCATAACTTTGATACAATTTTGAACAAAGTCATATAAACACGATACAATGTAGTACCACAACTTCTTATGAATTGATTCCCAAGCACGAGATTCATTTATTCACTCGGAATATTTAGACAAACAGTTCTGTTTAATAAAGACATTGATATGAATTTTCCCTTATTTCTGGGTTATATGTTACATCTACCCAACCACTCCTTACAATGTTGAAAGAGATCTAAGGACGGTCAATCTAAAACATGCCACCAATTAACGAAGTCATTGACTATTAGACTGAGCAATGTTGATATGTACAGAATATCTGATTGGGGTCCGCGCCGTAACCATAATCAGTGGTTGAAATGGCTTAAAATCAATCGTAGTGGCTCAGACGCATTGACTCTTTGTTTCCATTAGATATTCAGTTTCAATATTCCTCCACATATATAGTCATATCTCCTATTCCAGCAATATTCTTAGTGTTTAGTCTTTTTACCATCACTGATACTACTATTATTCCTACTACTTTACAATACATCCTGTTCATTTCACATCACCATGCTGATGTGATGATGGCAACTCCGGTTGACTACCATTTATCCTAGGCTTCATGTTGATTATGATTTTTCCTTTCCAATTTGTGACAATCTTTAGGAGTCAAAAGTATACGCGGACAAATAGGGAATAAATCAATCTTGAAAACTTACTCTATTGTGTTTTCCTCCACAGTGAGCAAATCATAGCACATAGCCTGTAATGTCAATTCATGCAAAAGAGGAGTAACAGGATCCAAACTTCGGTCAACAATCAACAAAAGACTTTGATCTTTATGTGAGCCCTGAAGCGTGAGAAAGAGAGAGAGAAAAGAAGGAAAGTTCAAGCTTACAAAATAGAAGGTTTGATCAAGTGTATGGATACTTTTCACTTCGAAATAAATTAAGCTAAGAAACGAACCATAATTCATAAGACGTTTGCTGGAAAAATAACAAACACAGTTTTTGTTATTTCCAATAAAAACATTTTCATGAATAATAACTGCATGGATATTGTTTTGCTGTAACGACGATACTGAATAAACCTTCGAATTATAAAACATTCAAGTTATAAATCACAGGAATGACAGATTTTAGCGAGGAAAATGCTACCAAAAACAATATAAACCACCATAAAATCACCTTTAAAAAATTTAGATTATTAAACACTTGTCATTTATAATGAAGCTAGATTAGAATTTAAATCAATTCTTCGTATTGTTAGTCGTCAGACCGGTAGAGCTTTTTGTTACCGATGAATGACGCAAACTGAAGGTTTTTGGAATCATCTAAAAATCTGTTAGTTATTTAAAAACCAACTTCTCAAATGGAAATAAATATTTTATGAACCCCAAAAAAACAAACGGTTTTCTAAGACAAGCATTTAAGTTCACAATTTGGGAATGGTCGAACGAAGGGGAACCTGATAAGTAACCAATTCTACCGGAATTAAAACCAATAGCATTTCTGAAATCCTCTGTAGTTCTAATAAATCAGTTGTCTGGAATCGTGACTCTCCGACTCCCCTAGGTAAACCCTCGTTACCGACTGAAGCAGTTCTGTTACGTCCTTGATCTGTCTACCCAACAACATAAGGAGAGGACTTGTCTCCATATAGGTTAAGGACTTATCACGATAGGCTAACTGGTTCAACCTTGATACTAGAAATGCGTGAGTTCGAATTGAGGCTAACGGCCTTAGGCAGAGGGACGAAAACTATTATATCGCTTGACTGGTCGACAAGCGAGAGAGAAGAGTCAGATTAATTCCTGATTCAGATTAGTGTAAAAATAAACATGAATAAATATATGACTAACAAGTCTACAACGCACAAACAACCAGAAAAATACAATTATTTCTAAACTGGGCATTAGGGGTAGGAAAAGTAGACTACAAAATGTTACGTTTAAATTACAATAGCTTTGGAACATAAAGGGATATGACGGTGGTTCATACATCAAAATAAAGCTTATGGTTTATGGAACAGTCTAGGGACAAAACTATATGTTAGTGTTTTATAAGCTTTGAATTAAGCGAAGTAACGTTCCAAAAAGTAGCATCCGGTGTTTGTCATAACTTCTTCATTTTTATGTTCACATCAGGTTTATTTCCACTTTTATCGGAACAACAACCAGACGTAGGCAAAAGAGGACCTCCTTCAAAGGTATAAAATAACTCTATGTGTTTCCATAGAAAAATAGACCTCTTGTTATCCTCAGTCAAACCAACTTGTGTGCTTTATCAAGTTGCTTGTAGATGATGCGGTTATGAATATTAATCACCTGTCGTAACACAACAAAATTAGAAATTCAAAACTCACCTGACCCAAAATCGGGTTATCGCTCTTATAGGTATCTAACTTCACTTGCACAAGACGGGCCAATTCGAGGTTACTCTCTGTCCTGTAAAATTCGGGGAATAAAATAAACTACCATTCAAAATAAAGAATATATATGACTAGATTCCGACGGCTGTACTGCTTAATTATAACTACACTACCTGATCCAAAGAATCTGAGAAAATCAAGATAGTACAACAGAACATCGATTGAAGCTTCTGTACTTCAAAATAAGAGAGCGAAACCACACCAAATGTAAAAACAGGTAAATACGGAAAGAAACATTTATTTATTTTATTTTAGTAACGTTGCACTCCTTGAGATGGGCGGTTTAATTTCGAAACTCCATTTATCTTCCTAAACAACATCAAAAACACGGAATACAAACAGGAAACAACAAAGACCTTACGAACTAACCATTCAGCTAAGAACACAACAAAAGAATACAATGATAATATTGTGAATAAATATAAGAGAATGAGGTTTTAAAATGATCGAAACAATATTTAATAAAGGATTTCTGGTTGAAAATATAACTGAGATAAATTTCGTTTAATTAAGGTTTAACCAATTGTTATTAAAACTGTAATAGAAAACAACAATAGGATTCCCACTAGCTTATATTCAGACATATTTGGTAATGCTTTAAACCACTTAAATCAATTATCCTTAAGACCCAAACCAAAGAATCATGATGGTCTAAGAGCTCTCAATCTTATACGGCTATCTTTTTCCCAGAGGGAGTAGCTGAGTGTGTCAACTACTTCATTCGCTCCGGGAGATGTCCGCTTGTCAACTAAAAGATGAGAGTACTTTGAGACAGTTTGTTCTGTTTTACGGCTTTGAAGCGTGCATGCCTTCGACGCATAGCTTACGCACATTAGGACCACTGAGTGAGCGTGTTAAGGTTAAATGAAGGGTACTAGATAAAAATGGTAAAACCTTCGTAGACTGTAGTTAGGATATATACTATGAGTATCCAACTACCGCCTACTATGACAGGTGTTGTTGGCTCGTGTAACCTAGGTCAGTAGAAAACTAGGGGCAACCAAATGAAGATGTAGCAATAGTTTATGCAATCACTGACTGTTGGTATTAACCATGTTGGTAGATCCAGACCACCTGGTTGGGGTCCACACAATTACCATCACTAATGGTTGGATACGTTGTAAGATATAGCTTCGAATCGATCGCAATGGCACAGATTCGTTCCTCCAGTTAATGAATGATAAGAACGCTTCTTATCTTCTAATCCCCGCAGTTCACTTTTTCTTTTTGAATTACACTCTCGATCTTCACACATTTTTCCATCAGTGGTAATACTACATTGGTATTGATCTTGATAACCTTGTCGTCTTGGAATGAAGTAATTATTGTTTTTTTTCGTTGAGGTTGGCCCACACAAAACCTGCAACAGTTACTGGAGCACACATCTGTTCTCAATCACTTTTAAACTGTTAGCTTACATCATATGTCCGTGTGTTATATCCTAAACAATCTGACCGCCCACAAAGGCCCTGGTATGACTGAGAGTGGGGTGGGCCCGCCCGCCCTCTCAAAATGCTCTCACACGGCCACGCATATACAGCCTCTGACAATGAGGTCCTACTCAATGCCTTCTGGTGGCGCGGGTGTTGTTTACGAAAATGAGACGAAAAGCGAATGTCCGGCGCTTTAACCGGATCTCAAACCAATGGTACACATGGGCTCAAGGATTCTGAGGGAACAAATGGCGTATGAACCAATCGTTGGTCACCGGCTACCATGAGACTGCATCTTGTGATGTTGCTCCACTGCCTTCAGGATTAGACCTCTAGGTCAAAGGCTCGGGGTATGGTCCCCCAGGAAAACCACCGGCTTCGGTCTGGACGCCCGGGCAGTATCACAGCCCACATATAAATAAAATAAAAATAACGATATTCACTGAAAATTCTATTCACGCTTTGATTAACAGTCAAAGAATTCAAATTATTATTGTTATTATTTACCACGTCCCTTATTCACTCTCTTTTATTCCCACATTGTGTATCCTTATTTTCGACTTATACAGCAGCTCGCCTATGGTGGGAACTCAGTACTATCTAAACGTTCTCGAGTCACACCCGGAGCCTTTGACCTAAAGGTCTGATCCACAAGGCCGTCGAGCAACGTCACGAGATGCAATCTGATGGTAGCCTGTGACCAACGATCAGTTCGTACGCCATTTGTTCCCTCATGATCCTGGAGCCCATGTACACCATTGGTTTTGAATCAGGGTTTCCCAACTACCCTAGGTGGACTCTCCATGTCCACCGACCCGGTTAAAACGCTGGAGTTTCGCATTTCGTCCTCTCAATTTCGTAAACAACACTCCCTCCACGAGAAGTCAGTGAGTAGGACTTTTCTGGTAGAAACTATATACGCGTGACCATATGAGAGCATTTCGAGAGAGAAAGCGGACTTTCCCCACTTTCGATCGTACCAGGGTCTTTGGGGGTTTCACGTCGTTCCTGTAAGAACTATCTGAAGATAAGTCTACTTCCGATTGCGTCCAAGCTATTGGCTTCCGTCATACTTCGTAGGTTGTTCAAAACCCGAGAAAGATTGACTCGCGAGGAGCAGGCTGATTTTCGTTCTGGTCGGGGATGTGTCGATCGTATCTTTACCCTCCGCCAAATGTTAAAACACCGTCATACTTACCACCGACCAACAATCGTAGTGTTTTTTGACATCAAGGTTGCCTTCGATTCATTAAACAGGACTGCTCTCTGGGATTGTCTATTGAAGAAGGGTGTGCCTAAAAGCCCTATATACAAACACCTTAGGTAGAGTGAGGACATATAACCACCTCTCTCAGCTGTTCCACTCAAGCAGTGGGGTTAGACAGGGTTGCCCAATATCATCATCCCTCTTGAACTTTGCCATCGATGATATTCTGGAAGCAGCTCTGATGGATGTAAGTAATGGCGGTGTGGATCTGTTGCCTGGAGAAAGACTTCTCGACCTTGAGTATGTGGATGATATTGTCTTACTGTGCGATAACGGCCAAGCCATGCAATCCGCACTTAATCAGTTGGCAATTAGTGTCCATAGGTACGGTATGTGCTGCGCATCTTCTAAGTGCAAAGTACTTTTACAAGGCTGGTAGGACCCTGATCCTGTACTCACCCTGGATGGTGAGCAGATAGAAGTAGTCGATAAGTCCGTGTATCTAGGTAGCTGCATAAGTGCTGGTGATGGCGTGAGTGATGAGATTAATGCAAGTATAGTGAAAGCCAGAGCGGCTTATGCCAATCTGAGTCATCTTTGGCGCCTTCATGATGTCAGTCTGACTGTAAAAGGTCGGATCTACAACGCGTCGGCGAGAGCAGTTCTGCTCTACGCTTGTAAAACATGGCCTCATCGAGTTGAGGATGTTAGACGACTCTCTGTGTTTGGTCATCGTTGTCTTCGAAGGATTACTGACATCGAGTGGTAACACCATGTTAGTAATGCAGAGGTTCGGCATCGTGTGTTCGGGCGCAGAGACGATAATCCAATTGGTGTCACTATCTTGAAAAATCGACTTCGGTGGCTTGGACGTGTTCTATGAATGTCGTCCCAGAGAATTCCTCGTAGTATCCTGGTTGGAAAAAGCGGAGAGGTGGTCAGTGTATGACATGGTGTCGTGGTATGAAAGAAAGCTGCACAGGACTGGCTTCTGTTGGCCCTTCACGACTCCCTGGTTGGGGTTCGAGAGATGGTGCGAAACAGTGGCTAGTGACGTTATCAGATATGGCTCAGAATAGAAGCCAGTGGCGATCTTGCTGTAACCTTCCTTTACTTTCTTCATAAAAAGTGACTGTATCTTTAAGTGAAAGTACTTTTCTGTTTCCCCCATTATTATTATTATTTCACTTCTATACAATAGCTTGTGGTCGTTATTGTTTGTTTTCTTTTTCTTTTTACACGCTCCTTACCTTCCTTTTTTTCTCTTCCCATTATCATTATTTTGTGTGGCGCATATATATATTTGGTGCTCCCTTGTACCAATATTTATGTGTTTAAATAAATAAATAAATAAATAAAATAAACAATCTGGCTGGAAAAGATAACCAAATTAGAAACAGGTAGATAGAAAAACATAACACTACAGATCTCGAATAACTAAGACCATCCCATGCCTGCGTATATGATGTGTTGTTTAAACCAATCACATTAAAGAGCATCTGGAAACAGATGAACTTTCAGAACTATCCTACGGAAGATTATTATTTACACTTTTATTGCATGACAATACGTCGCTTGGATTTCTGTATCTTTATATCCTCCTATTTGTAAGCTTTCATCTGAGCAGCGAACTGTTGTTATACATATTAATGTCCCAAACTTATCAGTGATTATTTTCTTATCCTTCCGTTTTTGTATTACTTATGGATGAGCTGTGTATACATCGTAATTTCCTGTTTGTGCTGTTGTGCGATAAGGTATATCATTGTATGAATCATGAAGAATGGAGAACAATAGGTATATTTTTAGTATGTGGTCGCAAAGATCATTGTACTTAAAGGAAATCGTTAAGCGATCAATATCAGACCATCACTAAAAACCCGGGAGCATTGGACGGCCGCTTCGTTCTAGTATGGGATTCTTCATCAGTGCACATCCGACCCCACACACAGGAACCGGACCCAGGATCCTAGATCTCGTGTGCAAACACTTAACTTCTAAACCACTGAGCTGGCATCCATCGGTGTTGATGTCTAACTTCAGACAATTCACGACACAGTGCGACCATCTTTCACTGTCTCTAGCGGGTAACTGCCTCACACTCGACACGGATTGGCTCTACTGTTCGCAGCTTCTCGCTAGTCACTAACACCGTTTGATACCAGCTCAGTGGTTTAGAAACTAGGCGTTCGCACACGAAACATAAGGTCCTGCGTTAGATTCCTGCGTGCGGAATCGTGGATGTACACTGCTGGGAAGGTCCCATACTAGGATGAAGCAACCATCCAATTTTTTCAGCTTTTTGATGGCGTTCCAACTTAAATCGGCTCATGATTCCAAAGAGATATTTCCTTGCTAACTTCATCTTGTAATCAGATACTGAGTTGGAAAGAGCTCGAGGACAAATAGGTGATAAGGTCTCGGTCGCTGTTCATTGGTCCCCGTGTCATCGGGCCTACAAGGAATATGAGCGAATGTCAATAATTGGACTAGAGAATACAACTGTTCCGATAATAAACAGCCCGACCATATGAGTCCTAAAACAAGTCAAGAACCTTTTTAGAAGGTACACCAAATATTACCAAAGATCTCAACTAGGCCGTCTTGATCATATCATCACTAGTAGTTAGCTTTATATCTCTTTACTATATCTGCTCAGAGATTATTCTATACTGTTGGTAATAATGAATGGTGAAAGATGTTAGATCAGCATACACAAAGAATATCATACCCACATTCGGAAAATTAGACACCTCTACAATGTGACACTTAGAGGATGACTTGAACTGGTTAGAGCAGTACCGGGTCCGTTAACACTAAGGTTGAAAAAATAATAATAATTTTCTGGAGGACTCCTTATTGGTTGAATGTTAATGGCATCGAAAGGTTATTTGGTAAAAAACTTTGAACTATGTAATGAGTGATCACTATAAAAACAGAGGATTATGACTAAAACCAGAAAGACAAGCTTGTACAAACAAAATTAAGTCCATATAGTGCGCTTACTTTTGGTAACAAATTTTTGGATACTCTTGCAAAGTTATGCAAACAGAAGCAAGTTGTTCTGCAATCTGGTCGATTCGACTGAGTTTGTCATGAACAATATCTGATGGCAAAAAGTAAAGTTGAGCACTTTCCGTGGCTTCTAGTGAATACAGATGAGATTCCAAGGGAATAAAATCCACCGACAATTGAATCATATTCATAATACGTCGGACTGCTTGTGAAGCAATTATCTGATTAAGCAAATCGTTCGGACAAGCTGGAAATAGAAATCCAAATAAGCCCTTAATCTCATATTTAAAAGATTATAAATCTTAAGGATAAGAAAGATACAAGTGATTCTCTAACTTACATGTGTACATTGCTTTCTAATCAAAAGTAATACACAGTATAGCCATGAAAGTCGAAAAGAGGCAACAAAAATGATAACGATAGTAGTTAAGGGGAACTATGTATAGAAAGATAATATAGGGAAATAGTACTATGCAGACCTCAACCAGATATTCTGTACCTATCAACATGGTTCAGTCCAATAATCAATGGTTTCGTGAATTGGTAACATATGACCCAGAAACCTCAGGTAGAAGAATCGCAGCCTCGTAAGCCGATTTACCATATTGGCCTAGTGACGTACGTCTAGCCTTTGCATTGCTCACTCTATCGTTCCATGATACACGAGTAATGGTTTGGAAACAGCTACAATCAAAATCATGCAGTTCACGCATGTCTTGCACTCTCATCGACCGTAACTCACAGCCATCGTGTAATTCAGAGAGGACTATTGCCTAGTACATCAACAGGATAACGTTTATCGTTGTTTAGCAACAGCGGTGATAACCGCCTATGGGTTGCTGTGATCGCTTCTGTATTGTTTGTTTCATTGGTCTTATCGAAATGGAAGTATGAAAACACGTCAGAAGCAAGACGCAAGGCAAACGAAATATATCTTTATTAAAAAATAAGTGTAAAGTTGAAAATTAGGGAGAGAAACATTCAAAAAATCAGTCCAAAAATGTTTTTTACAATAATGCATCTGTATTTTTGATTTCATTTCTAACCATTCGATTGGAACAAACGACAAAGATGTAAGACCAGAACAACTAAAACTCCACAAGAGTAACTATTATGAGCTGATATACACCTTTTATAAATATTGTGCATAACATTAATTTGCATGACTCTGATTCAGTAGCAGTAATAAATGTTAAGTGGGATATTGTTTTGTAGTGTTCCATTTGAGAGTATGTCATAGGGTACCCAAAGTAATTTTTCAAATTATTTGTTATTTATTTGAACACATAAATATTGGTACAAGGGGGCACCACACAATAATAATGAGAGTGGGAAGAGAAAAAAAGGAAGGTAAGGAGCGTGTAAAAAGAAAAAGAAAACAAACAATAACGACCACAAGCTATTGTATAGAAGTGAAATAATAATAATAATGGGGGAAACAGAAAAGTACTTTCACTTAAAGATACAGTCACTTTTTATGAAGAAAGTAAAGGAAGGTTACAGCAAGATCGCCACTGGCTTCTATTCTGAGCCATATCTGATAACGTCACTAGCCACTGTTTCGCACCATCTCTCGAACCCCAACCAGGGAGTCGTGAAGGGCCAACAGAAGCCAGTCCTGTGCAGCTTTCTTTCATACCACGACACCATGTCATACACTGACCACCTCTCCGCTTTTTCCAACCAGGATACTACGAGGAATTCTCTGGGACGACATTCATAGAACACGTCCAAGCCACCGAAGTCGATTTTTCAAGATAGTGACACCAATTGGATTATCGTCTCTGCGCCCGAACACACGATGCCGAACCTCTGCATTACTAACATGGTGTTACCACTCGATGTCAGTAATCCTTCGAAGACAACGATGACCAAACACAGAGAGTCGTCTAACATCCTCAACTCGATGAGGCCATGTTTTACAAGCGTAGAGCAGAACTGCTCTCGCCGACGCGTTGTAGATCCGACCTTTTACAGTCAGACTGACATCATGAAGGCGCCAAAGATGACTCAGATTGGCATAAGCCGCTCTGGCTTTCACTATACTTGCATTAATCTCATCACTCACGCCATCACCAGCACTTATGCAGCTACCTAGATACACGGACTTATCGACTACTTCTATCTGCTCACCATCCAGGGTGAGTACAGGATCAGGGTCCTACCAGCCTTGTAAAAGTACTTTGCACTTAGAAGATGCGCAGCACATACCGTACCTATGGACACTAATTGCCAACTGATTAAGTGCGGATTGCATGGCTTGGCCGTTATCGCACAGTAAGACAATATCATCCACATACTCAAGGTCGAGAAGTCTTTCTCCAGGCAACAGATCCACACCGCCATTACTTACATCCATCAGAGCTGCTTCCAGAATATCATCGATGGCAAAGTTCAAGAGGGATGATGATATTGGGCAACCCTGTCTAACCCCACTGCTTGAGTGGAACAGCTGAGAGAGGTGGTTATATGTCCTCACTCTACCTAAGGTGTTTGTATATAGGGCTTTTAGGCACACCCTTCTTCAATAGACAATCCCAGAGAGCAGTCCTGTTTAATGAATCGAAGGCAACCTTGATGTCAAAAAACACTACGATTGTTGGTCGGTGGTAAGTATGACGGTGTTTTAACATTTGGCGGAGGGTAAAGATACGATCGACACATCCCCGACCAGAACGAAAATCAGCCTGCTCCTCGCGAGTCAATCTTTCTCGGGTTTTGAACAACCTACGAAGTATGACGGAAGCCAATAGCTTGGACGCAATCGGAAGTAGACTTATCTTCAGATAGTTCTTACAGGAACGACGTGAAACCCCCAAAGACCCTGGTACGATCGAAAGTGGGGAAAGTCCGCTTTCTCTCTCGAAATGCTCTCATATGGTCACGCGTATATAGTTTCTACCAGAAAAGTCCTACTCACTGACTTCTCGTGGAGGGAGTGTTGTTTACGAAATTGAGAGGACGAAATGCGAAACTCCAGCGTTTTAACCGGGTCGGTGGACATGGAGAGTCCACCTAGGGTAGTTGGGAAACCCTGATTCAAAACCAATGGTGTACATGGGCTCCAGGATCATGAGGGAACAAATGGCGTACGAACTGATCGTTGGTCACAGGCTACCATCAGGTTGCATCTCGTGACGTTGCTCGACGGCCTTGTGGATCAGACCTTTAGGTCAAAGGCTCCGGGTGTGGCTCCCTAAGAAATCTACCTGCTTCGGTTTGGGCACCCGGGTAGTATCCTAGCCCTCATACAAATGTGATGAGATGACAAATATTTCACAAAAGACTATGCTCGCTCCGATCAGAACTCAGACATTTCATTTTCATCTTCATTACTATTACTGTTTTCTATATGCTACATCACTCATCACTTTTTATTTTCACTTCATATATCCTCATCTTCCAAATTATACAGCAGCTTGCCCATGGTGGAAACTCGGTCCTATCTAAACGATCTCGAGTCACCGCCTGGTCGAAAGTTGAATGCTTCCACCGAATACGAAATTGCTTCAGCGTTTAATACTATATTGTGCACCAAAAGTATACACCGATCAAGACTACTATTGTCTTTCAATTACACTTAAGCTGGGTTATTTAAATCAAAAACGTTTTAAAATTGTATATACTGTCGTTATTCTTCATCTCCCATGTGATGTGCTGATGGTGTTTATTAACATACCAGGCTACGAATAATCCCGCTTTTTTTCACTACCGACGTGTGGAGCCCTTGTAATTCAGTCTGAAGCCCTAATTACAATTGTGAACAGAGGCTCTGTCACAATAAAAACATTTGCAAGCAACCAAAAAGTGATGATTTATACCTTTTAAATAAAGTAATTTACATTCATAAAAATAAAACGCTTTTAGTTTACCGATGAGTATAAAGTTGTCCAGAATTACTTTTTTAATTACATAGACTCATGATAAGTGGGAAAAGTCGTTTGTCCTATAATGGAGCGACTTACACTACATTGTAAAAGGTTGAGATCTAATTTTCTACTCACTATGAAGGATATTAAAGATATGTATTTTATTTTATCAATGAGAATAACTCAATGCTCAGCTCATTGATATTACTAAGTTAAATCTTCGTTTGGGATACATGAACCGACTTGTTAACCTATTTTAATAATGAAAGCATGCACGTTGGAAAATATTGGTAAGATAGAGATCAAATTAGCCAAGCGTGTAGTGGTGAGCAAGCTGTTGATGCAATCGCTCTAGCTACTAGGTTTCAGGTACAAAATTTACTTGACCCACTTCATTTTTAACAGCTTGAATATCTCATTAGTCTTCATGTAGAAAGCATTGTATATAGTTGGGTAAATGAACCTGGTAACTAGACCGAATCAATTAGTACTATCCGCAAATAATTATAAAGCTTTGTCTCTCATTCGATAATTGTCAGCCAGCTACAACGTAGGACCAGGCACATATACGCAGTCCAAGTTGCCATACCTCACTAGCACAACAAAATGAACACCAAATTCATAGAAGCAGTTAATTTAATGGTGGTAATATATAAAAGGAAGGTTGCATATAAGGATATAGTACAGGAAGAGAGTATTAGTTCGTGGAAAGATATAAATCTATTTTAATCTCATAGTTTAAGGGATGAGACAGAGTGCATACACATACATCATAGTGATCGATTCTGAGCCATGTCATCCAAAGTCTCCAACCTTCAATGATTCACTAAAATGACGACCTACGGATAGTTTGTTATTGGTAGGAGCGATCTCAGACATAAAGTAATAGATTGTTCTAATGTTAATCCCAGGCATACCGAAAAGGAGATACAAACGAGACATTCCTCAAGACAATAATGAGGAAATGTGAGTCCTATTTGCATGCCGTAAGGAAATAGCGAAACGTTTACCTTTTCTGCTTCGATAGGTTTTGAATATCGCTGAAACTACGCCTATTCGTCTACATTTCACTTAAAAAACACGCCAAACTGTCGAAGTTCTGTATCTATTTATACGGAATCCACACAAAAATATTTGCTCTTGTTCTAAATATGTGTTCATCTTCATTTCCATCAACAACAAAAAAAAACGTTTAGACAGTCGACTAGGTTAAAAAATTATACTCCATTAGATTTATTTACAGGAAACCTAGTCCTCATGCCAAGCGACGAATCACTGAAACGCTCAGTATGAATAATAATTAGTGTCATCTGCCGACCTTTTTCAAACCAACATCAAACTTCCGTAGTATTGCAAATCGAGAAAATTAGTGAGACCTCCTAGACCATGTTTTTCTACTGTTTTGTTGTTTTGAGAGTAAAACACATAACTCGACCTGGAATTACGTCATATTATCAAAAAATTTATCACCTAAATTGACAGTGCACATTAAAATGTACTTGACTTACAAGACAAAAAGAAAACATGCGCAGCGGAATAAGTTGGATTTGATTCAGGAAAGTCTTGTAAAAGCAATTCTATTTCCTTGAGAAAAATTACAGAGACCGACTGACTTACTGCTCTTCGGGGCCTCATGATATATATTGCATGCATATTTAGTTTTTGACGCTTGCAGTTTAGAGATTCTACAACTACACATTCAGTAATTACATAAACTATAGACAAACTTACGAGTTACACCGTACTCAGTTATATCTTGCATCTTGAAACATGATGATAATACACGTGTGGCAGCATCATCCATAATCAAAACCTTCCATCCGGGTGTTTTGGAAAGTTTTTCAAAAACATATTTACGCAAAGCTATGTAATAAGGTACAATGACCAAAACAACATACAGGACCCGACCTCGCTTATCAAAGACATCAGGCTCTAGAGAGTTAAACTCCTTCAAAGGGCCTTCCAATAAGTATTTTAACTGAAAATGGTGCAAAAGTCACCACTTAGTTGAAATTGCCACTGTGTTGCTAACACGACCTTGAGCACCTCAAGTAACAGAGATTTTGTATTTGATGCCGTACATGTGCCTTGTCTTTCTAGTATATATGTGGTGTGGTCGAGCTAGATATTTTGACGAACAATTTTATTGACAGATCACTATAGGTATCGTGTACTGTTTCATATTTTGTGACCAATGTAGACCCTGCCAACCTACGCTATTTTTTAACAGATATCGATCTATTAACCGATCTACGGTTGAAAAAATTTTTAAAGTACTTTAAACGCGTCTCAACATAGAAAAGAAGTCCAAATGTTGCAAATCCAGGTTATGCGTGCTAAGTTATTTATACAAAAGTACAGGAAATCATAATAAACGTTAGAAGCATGTGTTTGGTGTACTTAAACTTACGTTAGGTTGTAAAAGAAATCCACAGGTTCCCATCCTTTTCGCGAAACCATCGGACTGTTTACCCTTATGTCAACAAGTAATTCCAAGCGTCTTGTTTGTAGCCCAATGATTCGAATTGCTTTACATGATGGTGAGTATACGAGGAGATTGTCTTCTGGAGAATAATAAGACGCTGCACTGCAACAAACATCCACGTTTGGGGGTGTGGTTCAGCATTTAAATGATCCATCTTACAAAAATTCACTATCAGTAACATAGGCAGCCTTTGGTCTTAGGTCGCTAAAAGTAAGTGTCTCATTAAATATTTGCAGCCTGGCTTATCTCAAAATGAATTATTGAATGTGTTAGGTAAGTAGGTGAGATAGTTTTATTCAAAATACGTATTCTGAACTGACTTTGTTTGGCCGCTCATCGAGGGATTGGATTGCATGAAAAGTACCCGGAAGTGGTATGCATTGATTTGATATACACCACAAACGAGGAGGGGTAAACAAGTTATTTCGTATGTACCTTTTAAGATATCACTTGTTATTACTAATTATGATGAATTGTTGTGCTTGTGATCGTCCTGTATTGTGTGAATGGACCAGGAAACAGTTGACTGACTGTCTTATATAAATGCTAGATGCCTAAGCTTGCAGCAACTCAAATTTAATTGTTAAGACTTGACTACTAACATCTTAGTAATGTCAGAACATTGTAGCTTGAGTATTCATTCACTTCCTTAATTCTTATAGGCATTATATTTCCTATTATTTTATATTGAATGTCAAAATCGAAAAATGGAGACATCTGTGTTAGTGATTAGGAGGTGTAAACTTTTTATACAGTTGGTAGACTGTTTCGGGGAAATGTCTCCGGTAAATGGTGAATTCGTAGACGCATCGTGGAAATGTAGACTTCTCAAATATGGAGCAGAAATACTATCATATTTTCAGCAAATTTTGTCGGAATGGCAAGTGATGTACTACTAATGATCTAAAATTGTCGTGAATAAAATTACGAATTCATTCTTTGCAAATTGCTCGTTCTTCATTCAATGTTTAGGGAGCGTGGTTCTTTATGTTTGGTGGTCATCACGAAAACCTTAGGCCTTGCATTGAGGTTAGGTGTCTCTGCATTGTTTATTTAACACAAATAACTAACCTTTTTCACAAATAGATGGGTTCTTATGATAATTAGAGGTATTTGAATTATAGTATGAACTAAGAATCCCAGAAATAACACAATTGGGTCAAGAGGTACTAGATAAGCACGAGCGCATGTACTGTATTTGCAATTCTTAATCAAGCATTCAACAAGTACTAAGGAATCATTAGTTCACTCAAACACCGCAGTTCTCTAACTATAAGTTGGATATCTAAGAGACATTAATCGACAGTTCTCCAGTTTAACGTAGTCGGTTGACGTAAAGTAACTTAAGACCAAAGTTGTAGCAAAGTGAAAGGTGAGACTTAAATTATTTGCGTTTATTCAGAAAAAAACTTACAGACGAAGGCACAAACGACAGTAAATATCTTTGATTTTGGGTAGAATCATTCTATTAGGAGTTAACACAGTAGTATTATATTTGTTAGTGCGTGTGACACTGTAACATTCACTTGCCATATTATATCAAGGTCTCTGGACAACAACAGTAGGCAAATAAAACATGATCAATCACTTGTTCATTCCAGCACTGACGAATTTAAGATCGGTCCTGATGAAACCTGGAACCATTGATGAGGAAATAGATGGGCTGGTTATGGAAATTTTATGGGATGGAGGTTTTGCAATCAAGGGAGCTGATAAGTCCTGAATGCGATGAACGGTTAATTGCCGCACTTGCTGATCATTATCATAAGTATGCAAAAAGCCTGTGAGTGTTTAACCGAATCTCAGTGGTTGTGTTATTTACTGTCACATTGGGTAAAAGACTATGCTAAGACATGCTAAACAGTGATTGTCTGCTTGCAATTTAGTTTATTTACAATTACAAGTTGACGTGCATGGGTTTTCTTTGTATATTTGTTCAAATGATCAATTATGGCATGTATTGGGCCGGATTGTTGTCTTTAAAACTTGTGAATAATTGCTAATTGGAGTTTGTGATGGGAAAAGTAAACCCACTGAATATAATTTTTTCTGGCCGACGTAATTCATGAACAAAAACAATTTTAAGACAGAGGGTTTCACCGTTTTAATTTTCTGAGATATATTATTAGGTTCACCGTTAATCCCGAGACTGCACATGGCGATAGGTGTGTATTAAGGAGAAATATTCTCAACAGTGGAACGAATGTCCCAAGCTCGTGAGTACGCTTTACGAAAATTAGATTTTAAAGTGTTAGACATTAACATGTTGTACATCCAGGTGTCGTTAATACGAGGATTACTATATGTCTAGATTCACCTCACAACAGGCCAAACATAATGATCAAGGGCGTAATAACGACTATTATAGAATAATCTTCGCGTTGTTTTGATGACATTTCTCCAGACTTCCCGTGAAAAATGTTGTGCTTCAGAGAATATTTCTGTCTGGAAAGCGGTAAGACGTCGGCTATTCACTGCCACTAAAGAGATACTCGAGATAACTGTGTATGCCAAACGATATAATTTACACTTCGTTTACTAGGTAGAGAGTAATGATAACCGGGCTGAGAGGTAACCAACCGAGAACAGCAATTGAAACAATTGTATTCAGAATAATAAAACCGGATATGACAATTAGCTTCACGCTGATGAGGTGGCCACAAAAGAGAGCATACTCAAGTTTTGATTTTGCAACGGTACAAAAAGGAAAGCTAAGATTTATTGTCTCGTATTCACAAGTTGTTTTAACACTTTAATTCTCATCGTCCAATACTGGTGAAAAAAGATCTAGCAAAGGTTAACAATATCGCCAACCAAGAGTACTCTCACGACATAAGAGATAAACTGAACAAGAAACATCATGGGAAGAAAGATAGTGTAGGTGACAATCTCCTCTGTTGGCTTTTGCTTTCAGGTTTTAGATGCCAAAATCTTTCCTTTTACATTGTTACCGTAGGTCTCACCTTGTTTTAGGACGAGGTTGAGATAAACACCTCACGAAAACACATCTACAGCGATAAACTGTCGTTTATTTCTGAATTAAGCTGACAAAAACACTGCTGATTATTGTTAACGCTCTCATTGAGGCAATTTACCATAACATAGACCAATATCGTTAAGTGCTTTTCTAACCCTACATTCACTTTTTTGACAGTTTGTAAATTATGAATAAAAAATGGTAATTTGAAATTTGAATTTTTCATCTCCCAATTGTTCTCTTAAAAGCTACGATCTTATCAATCACCCATTCTTCAAGAAACGATTAAAATGGGACTGTGGATCACAAAAGTGCCCCTTAATTCTTTTTTCAGATTCTTTGGATTTTGGATGCACTTTGGGTCCCTATAATTTATGTTGAATTCCTAGATATATTGACTATTATCATTGGATTAGGTGGAAATTTCTAGTTTTTTAAAATTTAAAGACGGCAAATGTGATAATAATCTGAGCATTTATAGTGCGAGCTGTAGTCCATTCAATTCTACCAAGGTATAGTTAAGTAGATTTTCGCTTGTGAAAAAGTTTGGAAAGAGTCCTGCATTGGAGAAGTAATTGAATCTGTCAGAAATTCAGGATGATGAGTTAGCTAAATTGGTATTGGGATTTTGAAGAAACCTTTGACCAATTTTCTTATGGATAGTAGTAAGGTAGGTGTCAAGTTAGGAGGAGATTAGAAATATAGTACTTGTTGAATCATTCGTTTCTAAAAACTGCTGGGCAGCACGGAAGATAAATAAATTCGTGATGTGATACTTTGTGTACAGTTGGTGACATTACAATATAATGCATTTCTGCTATGACAGGTAAACGCCGTTTTTACAAGCTTGATCTATAAGTTACAACATTCGTTTACTTAGAGTAGGCTTCACAAGTAGTTGTTAAACAAATGAAGTCAATGGAATTAAAAGACGATGCATTTGTGCAGATGTCCCAGTGAGCCAGTGTTTTAGTATTGCACTGAGTACAGTTTTTAAAATGTTTTTCTAAAATGTCATCGCGTCCACGTTGCACACCAGATCTCTTTGTTCTGCCATTGGGGTTATGTCAGGACGAGGAAATGTTCTTGTGACCTTTGTGGAAGAGAACATTTAGTTACCCTTGAAATAATTGTGCATTTTCTGAATTTCAAATCTGTTTGATGTTGATCTGATGGCTTAACCAAATCTGTAGCCAAGCTATGTAATGTATGTATAACACGAACAACTAGGGCGGCCTGCTTGAGCATCTGGGCTACCTGTTCCTGCCATCTAGATATTTCAACAAGTTATCTATTTTTGTTTGTTCTAATATATCATTATGTTTATTAATCGCATAACCTATTCTGCTGCGTTTCTGAAAAGCGTACAACCTTTCGTTGTCAAAGTTACAGAAAACTCAATAAGAGACAATATGGTTGCTGGCAATGTACAACGAAAAGAATGTACATTATTCAGTTGTTCATTCACTGAAGTGCTAACATCTAACTGGCGTTTCCTCAATATTTATCGCCAGGACCGACCAAGAAAAAAGAAACGGAAACTTGTTGAAATACTTTGAGCTGAGAATTCTATATTGTACCAAAATTATAATATTGAATAAAGCTAATAATAATAATAAAGAATGAGATATAAATTAGATAAAAGGTGTAAGGCCTATTTAGAAAATAATTGTGTTACCTCTACCGCTGAATCTACAGAGTATGTTGTTAGA